CAGGTGTGTGTAGTGTGAGTGTACAGGTGTGTGTACAGGTGTGTGTAGTGTGAGTGTACAGGTGAGTGTACAGGTGTGTGTAGTGTGTGTGTACAGGTGTGTGTAGTGTGTGTTGTTCGTCACGTGTCTGAGTTGCTCGTCACGTGGCTGAGCTGCTCGTCACGTGGCTGAGCTGCTCGTCACGTGGCTGAGCTGCTCATCACGTGGCTGAGTTTTTTGTCACGTGTCTGAGTTGTTGGTCAACGTAACGATTGAGTGGAGATCAATTTCCAAGCAAACGCTGCGCATTTGGAATAAACCGGCAGTCGCGACTTTACCGATAAAACCCAAAGAATATTAATTCCTGCAGTCACGTGAAGCTTTAAGTCTAACCTAACGTGGAGTCTCCCTCACCTAAGATGGCGTCACTCCCTCACCTAAGATGGCGTCACTCCCTCACCTAAGATGGCGTCCCCCCCCCCCCCGAACCGAAGATGGCGTTACGCCCACCTAAGATGCCCCCCCCACCTAAGATGGCGCCCCCCCCCCACCTAAGATGGCGCCCCCTCTACCTAAGATGGACGCTACCATGGTCTGGGATCGAACCCACGAACTCCTGTAGACCAGGCGAGGTAGTCAACATCTCTCAGTGTCTTAGATCGAACCCACGACCTCCTGTAGACCAGGCGAGGTAGTCAACATCTCAAAGTGTCTGAGATTGAACCCACGACCTCCTGTAGACCAGGCGAGGTAGTCAACATCTCCCAGTGTCTGAGATCGAACCCACGACCTCCTGTAGACCAGGCGAGGTAGTCAACATCTCTCAGGGTCTGGGATGGAACCCACGACCTCCTGTAGACCAGGCGAGGTAGTCAACATCTCAAAGTGTCTGAGATCGAACCCACGACCTCCTGTAGACCAGGCGAGGTAGTCAACATCTCAAAGTGTCTGAGATTGAACCCACGACCTCCTGTAGACCAGGCGAGGTAGTCAACATCTCAAAGTGTCTGAGATTGAACCCACGACCTCTTGTAGACCAGGCGAGGTAGTCAACATCTCAAAGTGTCTGAGATTGAACCCACGACCTCCTGTATACCAGGCGAGGTAGTCAACATCTCAAAGTGTCTGAGATCGAACCCACGACCTCCTGTAGACCAGGCGAGGTAGTCAACATCTCAAAGTGTCTGAGATTGAACCCACGACCTCCTGTAGACCAGGCGAGGTAGTCAACATCTCTCAGGATCTGGGGATCGAACCCACGACCTCCTGTATACCAGGCGAGGTAGTCAACATCTCAAAGTGTCTGAGATCGAACCCATGACCTCCTGTAGACCAGACGAGGTAGTCAACATCTCAAAGTGTCTGAGATCGAACCCACGACCTCCTGTAGACCTGGCGAGGTAGGCAACATCTCAAAGTCTCTGAGATTGAACCCACGACCTCCTGTATACCAGGCGAGGTAGTCAACATCTCAAAGTGTCTGAGATCGAACCCACGACCTCCTGTAGACCTGGCGAGGTAGGCAACATCTCAAAGTGTCTGAGATTGAACCCACGACCTCCTGTATACCAGGCGAGGTAGTCAACATCTCAAAGTGTCTGAGATAGAACCCACGACCTCCTGTAGACCAGGCGAGGTAGTCAACATCTCAAAGAGTCTGAGATCGAACCCACGACCTCCTGTAGACCAGGTGAGGTAGTCAACATCTCAAAGTGTCTGAGATAGAACCCACGACCTTCTGTAGACCAGGCGAGGTAGTCAACATCTCAAAGTGTCTGAGATTGAACCCACGACTTCCTGTAGACCAGGCGAGGTAGTCAACATCTCTCAGTGTCTGAGATCGAACCCACGACCTCCTGTAGACCAGGCGAGGTAGTCAACATCTCTCAGTGTCTGAGATCGAACCCACGACCTCCTGTAGCCAGGCGAGGTAGGCAACATCTCAAAGTGTCTGAGATTGAACCCACGACCTCCTGTAGACCAGGCGAGGTAGTCAACATCTCTCAGTGTCTGAGATCGAACCCACGACCTCCTGTAGACGAGGCGAGGTAGTCAACATCTCTCAGTGTCTGAGATTGAACCCACGACCTCCTGTATACCAGGCGAGGTAGTCAACATCTCAAAGTGTCTGAGATCGAACCCACGACTTCCTGTATACCAAGCGAGGTAGTCAACATCTCAAAGTGTCTGAGATCGAACCCACGACCTCCTGTAGACCAGGCGAGGTAGTCAACATCTCCAGCTCGAGCTTTCACCATTCGTTTTGAGTTTATTGGGCACACAATCACAGATGAAGGTGACACGGACATCCGATATACATCATCATCGTCATCGTCACAATCATCACAGTGGTTACAATGATCATCATTGCAATCATCATCATTACAATGACCAAAATGATCATCACAATCATCATCATCATCATTACAATCATTGTCATTACAATCATCATAATTACAATAATCATCATTGCAATCACCATCATGGTCATCATCATTACAATCACCATCATCACAATCATCATAATCATGATTACAATAATGATCATCACAATGATCATCATGCCAATCATGCCAATCATCACAATCAACATTATGATCATCATCACAATCATCACCATGACAATCATCATCACGATCATCATCACGATCATCATCAACAGATCTGTGGTTGAGGGAATTGGGTGAGATGTGATATCTCAGAGCTCTTACAAAAGTTAATTCATCCAAACAACAACAACTACTACTGCTGCTGATGATGATGATACTACTACTGCTGCTGATGATGATACTACTACTGATGATGATGATACTACTGATGATGATACTACTACTGATGATGATGATACTACTACTACTGATGGTGATACTACTACTGATGATCAAACTACTACTACTGATGATGATGATGATACTACTGAAGATGATGATACTATTACTGAGGACGATGATACTACTACTACTGATGATTATACTACTACTCATGATGATGATACTACTACTGATGATGATGATACTACTGATGATGATACTACTGATGATGATGATACTACTACTGATGATGATGATACTACTACTACTGATGATGATACTACTACTGATGATGATGATGACACTACTGATGATGATGATACTATTACTGATGATGATACTACTACTGATGATGATACTACTACTGATGATGATGATACTACTACTGATGATGATGATACTACTGATGATGATACTACTGATGATGATGATACTACTACTACTGATGGTGATACTACTACTGATGATGATACTACTACTACAGATGATGATGATACTACTGAAGATGATGATACTATTACTGATGACGATGATACTACTACTACTGATGATTATACTACTACTCATGATGATGATACTACTACTGATGATGATGATACTACTACTGATGATGATACTACTGATAATGATGATACTACTACTGATGATGATGATACTACTACTACTGATGATGATACTACTACTGATGATGATGATGATGACACTACTGATGATGATACTATTACTGATGATGATACTACTACTGATGATGATACTACTACTGATGATGATGATACTACTACTGATGATGATGATACTACTACTGATGATGATACTACTACTGATGATGATGATACTACTGATGATGATGATACTACTACTGATGATGATGATACTACTAATACTACTGATGATGATTATGATACTAATGATGATGATGATACTACTAATACTACTGATGATGATGATGATGATGATACTACTACTGATGATGATGATGATACTACTACTGATGATGATACTACTGATGATGATACTACTACTGATGATGATGATGATACCCTGAATGAAGAAACCCGCAATTAGGGCGACATTCTCAAGACTCACAGAGTTATCGATCGGTTATCAATAAGCAATCATCGGTTTAATTGCTTCTTTCGAAAGCAATCGAAATAATTTAACTAATATACACACACACAAATTTGTGTTTAAAATAATTATATAATCGTGGTAATGATGTCTTAGGATTGTTGCTAACGTTAATATTATATTCTTAGTTTTCTTGACTTTACCGAAAAAACTAAGAATATGAATTACTGCAGTCACGAAAGCTTTGAATCAAAACGTTAATATTATTAACATTGTTATCGAATGTTCATGCATTATCCCAAGTGGTTATATTTTATATCTGACCACTAGCCCACTCCCACCCCCCAGGAATAATAAAATCGTTTAAATCAATTAAACTTTGAGTGTTAAAATTAACATTTAAATCAATTAAACTTTGAGTGTTAAAATTAACATTTAAATCAATTAAACTTTGAGTGTTAAAATTAACATTTAAATCAATTAAACCTTGAGTGTTAAAATTAACATTTAAATCAATTAAACTTTGAGTGTTAAAATTAACATTTAAATCAATTAAACCTTGAGTGTTAAAATGAACATTTAAATCAATTAAACTTTGAGTGTTAAAATTAACATTTAAATCAATTAAACTTTGAGTGTTAAAATTAACATTGAAATCAATTAAACTTTGAGTGTTAAAATTATGGTGAGTGTTAAAATTAACAATTAAATCAGTTAAACCTTGAGTGTTAAAATTTACTTTTAAATCGATTAAACGTTGAGTTAAAATTAACATTTAAATCAATTAAACGTTGAGTTAAAATGAACATTTAAATCGATTACACGTTGAGTGTTAAAATTAACATTTAAATCAAGTAAACGTTGTGTTAACATTAACATTTGAATTCGCGTGGTGTGTGTGTTATAATGTGTGTGTTATAATGTGTGTGTTATAATGTGTGTTATAATGTGTGTGTTATAATGTGTGTGTTATAATGTGTGTGTTAAAATGTGTGTGTGTGTTATAATGTGTGTGTGTTATAATGTGTGTGTGTTATAATGTGTGTGTTATAATGTGTGTGTTATAATGTGTGTGTTATAATGTGTGTGTTATAATGTGTGTTATAATGTGTGTGTGTGTTATAATGTGTGCGTTATAATGTGTGTGTTATAATGTGTGTGTCTCTGTGTGTTATAATGTCTGTGTGTGTTATAATGTGTGTGTTATAATGTGTGTGCGTTATAATGTGTGTATGTCTGTGTGTGTGAGTGTCTGTGATTTATAATCCAGCATTGCTCGATAGGCCTGCAAAACAGAGACACAAACAGAGTTACAGACACCGAGACTCACAGAGACACACAGAGACTCACAGAGACACAGAGACACAAAGAGACACAAAGAGACTCACAGAGACTCAAAGAGAGAATCAGAGACTCACAGAGACACACAGAGACTCACAGAGACTCAAAGAGACAAATAGAGACACACAAAGACACACAGAGACACACAGAGACTCGCAGAGACACACAGAGACACACAGAGACTCACAGGGACTCGCAGAGACACACAGAAACTCACAGCTACACACCGAGACACACAGCTACACACTGAGAGACACAGAGACACAGAGACTCACTCAGAGACTCACTCAGAGACACATACAGAGACACACTCAGAGACTCACTCAAAGACTCACTCAGAGACACACACACAGACTCACAGAGACTCACACAGAGACACACACAGAGAGACGCACACAGAGACTCAGAGAGACTCACACAGAGACTCACACAGAGACTCACAGAGACTCACACAGAGACTCACAGAGACTCAAACAGAGACTCACACAGAGACTCACACAGAGACACACAGAGACACACAGAGACTCACACAGAGACTCACACAGAGACTCACACAGAGACACACAGAGACACACAGAGACTCACACAGAGAGACACACAGAGACTCACACAGAGACACACACAGCGACTCACACAGAGACACTCAGAGACTCACACAGAGACTCACACAGAGACTCACACAGAGAGACACACAGAGACACACACAGAGACTCACACAGAGACTCACACAGAGACACACACAGAGACTCACACAGAGACTCACACACAGACACACACAGAGACTCACACAGAGACTCACACAGAGACACACACAGAAACTCACACAGAGACTCACACAGAGACACACACAGAGAACACACAGAGACTCACACAGAGACTCACACAGAGAGACACACAGAGACTCACACAGAGACTCACACAGAGACACACACAGACACACACAGAGACACACACAGAGACACACACACAGAGACTCACACAGAGACACACACAGAGACTCACACAGAGACTCACACACAGAGACTCACACAGAGACTCACACACAGACACACACAGAGACTCACACAGAGACTCACACACAGAGACTCACACAGAGACTCACACAGAGACTCACGCACAGAGAGACTCACACAGAGACTCACACAGAGACACACACAGAGACACTCACAGAGACACACACACAGAGAGACTCACACAGAGACTCACACAGAGACTCACACAGAGACACACACAGAGACTCACACACACACAGAGAGACTCACACAGAGACACACACAGAGACTCACACAGAGACACACACAGAGACTCACACACACACAGAGAGACTCACACAGAGACTCACACAGAGACTCACACAGAGACTCACACAGAGACACACACAGAGACACACACACAGAGAGACTCACACAGAGACTCACACAGAGACACACACAGAGACACTCACAGAGACACACACACAGAGAGACTCACACAGAGACTCACACAGAGACTCACACAGAGACACACACAGAGACTCACACACACACAGAGAGACTCACACAGAGACACACACAGAGACTCACACAGAGACACACACAGAGACTCACACACACACAGAGAGACTCACACAGAGACTCACACAGAGACTCACACAGAGACTCACACAGAGACTCACACACACACAGAGAGACTCACACAGAGACTCACACAGAGACACACACAGAGACTCACACAGAGACTCACACACAGAGACTCACACACAGAGACACTCACACAGACACACACAGAGACTCACACAGAGACACACACAGAGACACACACAGAGACTCACACAGAGACTCACACAGAGACACACACAGAGACTCACACAGAGACACTCACACAGAGGCACACACAGAGACTCACTCAGAGACACACACAGAGACACACACAGAGACTCACACACAGAGAGACTCACACAGAGACTCACACAGAGACTCACACAGAGACACACACAGAGACTCACACAGAGAGACACACACACAGAGACACACACAGAGACACACACAGAGACTCACACAGAGACTCACACAGAGAGACTCACACAGAGACTCACACAGAGACTCACACACAGACACACACAGAGACTCACACAGAGACTCACACAGAGACTCACACAGAGAGACACACAGAGACTCACACAGAGACTCACACAGAGACACACACAGACACACACAGAGACACACACAGAGACTCACACACAGAGAGACTCACACAGAGACACACACAGAGACTCACACAGAGACACACACACAGAGACTCACACAGAGACACACACAGAGACACACACAGAGACTCACACACAGACACACACAGAGACTCACACAGAGACACACACAGAGACACACACAGAGAGACTCACACAGAGACTCACACACAGAGACTCACACAGAGACTCACACAGAGACTCACACACACACAGAGACACACACAGAGACTCACACAGAGACTCACACACAGAGAGACTCACACAGAGACACACACAGAGACTCACACAGAGACTCACACAGAGACTCACACACACACAGAGACTCACACAGAGAGACTCACACAGAGACTCACCTGGCAGGCCACTCCACTCTCTCATCAGCAGCACAGTGCTGATGAGAGTCGCTGGAACGAAACTCCACACGGTCACACTGCCACGGGTAGATTGTGGGCATGAACTCTTCGCCTGTGATCGCAACAACAACATCATCATATGCATCATCATCATCAGCATCATCACCACACCGTCTGTCTGTGTCCACGTGTGTGTCTGCGTGATTGTGTGAGGAGCTCACAAATCCTTGAAGGATCTGGGCAAGGTCCCATCGGTGAGCTCCTCCGGCGGGTCAAGGCTGCGATGGCTGGGCCACGTAGCCCGCATGCCCAGCCACCGCATGCCCAAACAGCTTTTGGTAATAGGTTTTGCCTCCTTCAACTGGCACACAAAAAAACTGACACCTTTATTCAAGGCATCAATAACCACGACACAAGCGGTCAAAATGCTTTGTGTTGTGGTTATTGCAAACACGATGCCTTGAATAAAGGTGTCAGTTTTTTGTGTGCCAGTTAAAAAGGGTAAAACCTATTCCTATATCTTGTTTACTGGCAAAGGAGGTCTCATAATGTAAGAAACAGCTTTTGTTCGGCCGGATCGAGGGGGCTAAGCGGGAGCGACACGGGGCTAGAGAAGGAATGGAGTGATGTGGTACAGGAGGACGTGGAGCTGAGTGGACTTGCCGATGACTGGTACCAGCGGTGTCAAGATCGGCCTCTGTGGAGGAGGCTCGTGAAGGATGCTACTGGGCAGTTGGAGGCAGTCGCCCTCCAACAACAACGGAGGGCGGAGGAGCGACGCTCACAACAACGAGCGGAGCGCCGGGTGGCTAAAGCACAGCAGGGTTGGCACAGTAGGGGGCACAGGTGGTGCATCAGCCAGTCATCTCAGTCATCTCAGTCAGTCGACCCGTGGCACCTGCTGGGTCTGCCCCGTGACCTCCTGCCAGCGGGCGTTCGACACTTCACGTGGCCTCAAGGTGCACATAGCCTGGCACAAGCGTCGTGGTGACGTCACCTCCACTTAGTGGTGAATGGCGGTTGTTGTTGTGTGTCTAGTAGTGAATGGCGGTTGTATTTGTTGATGTTGTTGATTTTCTTAATGTTGTTGTGGTTGTTGATGTGGTTGATGGTGTTGTTGTTGTTGATGGTGTTATTGTTGATGTTGTTGTTGTGGTTCTTGTTGATGTTGTTATTGTGGCCTATGATGTTGTTTGTGATGTTGTTGTTGTGGTTGTTGTTAATGTTGTGGTTGTTGTTGCTGTGGTTGTTGTTGATGTTGTGGTTGTGGATGTTGTTGTTGATGTTGCTGTTGATGTTGATGTTGTTATTGTGGCCTATGATGTTGTTTGTGATGTTGTTGTTGTTGATGTTGTTGATGCTGTGGTTGATGTTGATGTTGTGGTTGATGTTGTGGTTGTTGTTGATGTTGTGGTTGTCGATGGTGATGTTGTGGTTGTTGTTCTTGATGATGTTGTTTGTGATGTTGTTGCTGCTGTTGTTGTTGATGTTGTTATTGTGGCCTATGATGTTGTTTGTGATGTTGTTGTTGTTGTTGTTGATGTTGTGGTTGTCGATGGTGATGTTGTGGTTGTTGATGTGGTTGATGGTGTTGTTGTTGATGTTGTGGTTGTTGTTGATGTTGTTATTGTGGTCTATGATGTTGTTTGTGATGTTGATGTTGTTGTTGATGTTGTTGTTGTTGATGTTGTGGTTGATGTTGATGTTGTTATTGTGGCCTATGATGTTGCTTGTGATGTTGTTGTTGTTGATGTGGTTGATGGTGTTGTTGTTGATGTTGTGGTTGATGTTGATGTTGTTATTGTGGCCTATGATGTTGTTTGTGATGTTGATGATGTTGTTGTTGTTGATGTTGTGGTTGTTGATGTTGTGGTTGATGTTGATGTTGTTATTGTGGCCTATGATGTTGTTTGTGATGTTGATGATGTTGTTGTTGTTGTTGATGTTGTGGTTGATGTTGTTATTGTGGCCTATGATGTTGTTTGTGATGTTGATGATGTTGTTGTTGTTGTTGATGTTGTGGTTGATGTTGATGTTGTTATTGTGGCCTATGATGTTGTTTGTGATGTTGATGATGTTGTTGTTGTTGTTGATGTTGTTGTTGATGTTGTGGTTGTTGTTGATGTTGTTGTTGTTGTTGTGGTTGATGTTGTTGTTGTTGATGCTGTTGTTGATGTTGTGGTTGTTGTTGTTGTTGTGGTTGTTGATGTTGTTGTTGTTGTTGTGGTTGTTGTTTGTGATGTTGTGGTTGTGGTTGTTGTTGTTTGTGATGTTGTTGTTGTGGTTGTTGTTGTTGTTGTTGATGTCACCGACTCACGGTGGTCATGGTGGTTGGAACGGCTGTCGAGTTCACCAAAGCCGTGGAGTTGCCGGCGGACGTGGAGGAGTTGCCGGCGCCGGGGCCCGTCCAGGTGGAGTTGGAGGTGGAGTTGGAGGTGGAGTTGCCGCCGCCGGTGTTAGGGGAGGGGGTGGAGGTGGTGGAGGTGGTGGACGAGTTGCCGGCGGCGATGGTGGTGAGGGAGTTGCCGGCGGCGATGGTGGTGAAGGTGGAGGAGTTGCCGGCGGCGATGGTGGTGGAATCGGCGACGGTGGAGCTGGAGAAGTTGCCGGTGGCGATGGTGGTGGTGGAGGTGGACGAGTTGCCGGCGGCGATGGAGGTGAGGTCGGCGGCGATGGTGGAGCTGGAGAAGTTGCCGGTGGCGATGGTGGTGGTGGAGGTGGACGAGTTGCCGGCGGCGATGGAGGTGAGGTCGGCGGCGATGGTGGTGGAGGTGGACGAGTTGCCGGCGGCGATGGTGGTGGAGGTGGTGGACGAGTTGCCGGCGGCGATGGAGGTGAGGTCGGCGGCGATGGTGGTGGTGGAGGTGGACGAGTTGCCGGCGGCGATGGAGGTGGGGTCGGCGGCGATGGTGGTGGAGGTGGTGGACGAGTTGCCGGCGGCGATGGAGGTGAGGTCGGCGGCGATGGTGGTGGAGCTGTTGCCCACCGACGTTTGGCTGCTGCTTGAGACGTTGCTCCACGAGGAGTTTGTGTCCACGGTCCACGGGGAGATTGACACCGTGGTCGACTGGGTCACGTAGGAGCCTGTGGCACGACACACGGACAGGTGGGTGGGTGGGTGGGTGAGTGAGTGGGTGAGTGGGTGGGTGAGTGAGTGGGTGAGTGGGTGAGTGAGTGGGTGGGTGGGTGAGTGAGTGGGTGGGTGGGTGAGTGAGTGAGTGAGTGGGTGAGTGAGTGAATGGGTGAGTGGGTGGGTGGGTGAGTGGGTGGGTGGGTGGGTGAGTGGGTGAGTGGGTGGGTGGGTGGGTGAGTGAGTGGGTGAGTGAGTGGGTGAGTGAGTGGGTGGGTGGGTGGGTGAGTGAGTGGGTGGGTGAGTGAGTGAATGGGTGAGTGGGTGGGTGGGTGAGTGGGTGAGTGGGTGAGTGGGTGGGTGAGTGAGTGGGTGAGTGAGTGGGTGAGTGAGTGAGTGGGTGAGTGAGTGAGTGGGTGGGTGAGTGAGTGAATGGGTGAGTGGGTGGGTGGGTGAGTGGGTGAGTGGGTGAGTGAGTGAGTGAGTGAGTGGGTGGGTGGGTGAGTGAGTGAGTGGGTGAGTGAGTGAGTGAGTGGGTGAGTGGGTGAGTGAGTGGGTGAGTGGGTGAGTGAGTGGGTGAGTGAGTGAGTGAGTGGTGAGTGAGTGAGTGGGTGAGTGGGTGGTTGAGTGAGTGAGTTGGCCAGTGAGTGGAGTGGCAGCCTCTCCTACACATAAACACAAAGGAACCAGTCCACGGGACCTCCTGTAATCCACAGAGACCTAAGCGGTACCGGGTCAGCTCCCGACAGAGGAAAGGCAGCCTTTCCACGTGAACACGCGAACCATAACCAGTCCACGGGACCTCCTGTAATCCACAGAGACCTAAGCGGTACTGGGCCAGCTCCCGACGGAGGAAAGGCAGCCTTTCCACGTGAACACGCGAACCATAACCACTCCACGGGACCTCCGGTAATCCACAGAGACCTAAGCGGTACCGGGCCAGCTCCCGACGGAGGAAAGGCAGCCTTTCCTCATAAACACGCGAACCATAACCAGTCCACGGGACCTCCTGTAATCCACAGAGACCTAAGCGGTACCGGTCCAGCTCCCGACGGAGGAAAGGCAGCCTTTCCACATAAACACGCGAACCATAACCAGTCCACGGGACCTCCTGTAATCCACAGAGACCTAAGCGGTATCGGTCTAGCTCCCGACGGAGGAAAGGCAGCCTTTCCACATAAACACGCGAACCATAACCAGTCCACGGGACCTCCTGTAATCCACAGAGACCTAAGCGGTACCGGGCCAGCTCCCGACGGAGGAAAGGCAGCCTTTCCACGTGAACACGCGAACCATAACCAGTCCACGGGACCTCCTGTAATCCACAGAGACCTAAGCGGTACCGGGCCAGCTCCCGACGGAGGAAAGGCAGCCTTTCTACGTAAACACGTGAACTATAACCACTCCACGGGACCTCCGGTAATCCACAGAGACCTAAGCGGTACCGGTCCAGCTCCCGACGGAGGAAAGGCAGCCTTTGATGAGAGGTTTATTTTTGTTCCCCCATTTTTTTTCCGGCAACGAGACAGCTTGCGTTCAGATGTCAAAACGCCAAAAACGAAAACCTTCCAGCGGGGAATCGCGTCACTGCGTCAGCCGCGGTGCTTGTGGCCCGGGATGCAAACACAAAACCACCCTTCTCTGTGTGAGTCTCTGTGTAGGTCTCGCTATTACCAAGTCGATTTAAAGCTTTCGTGACTGCAAGGATTCATCTCCTTTGGTTCTATTGGGTAAAGTCACGTAGGTAAAAAAATAAAATAACAAAAATCCCGACGTTTCGGCCACAGCACGAGCGGCCAACGTCAGGTGAAGGGACCAGGCTGTCTGGAGGACAGCGCTGGAGTGAAAAAAGCCACGTTCAGATCGCGGACCTTTAAGCTGTGTGAGAGGAAACAAAGCGCCTTGACAAAGGAAATTAGCATAGAATTTAGCATTGAAATGGCTGAGTGATTAGCTTGTAAAAAGTCAAAGCCTACACATCCACAGAGGCACCTAGTACAAATCAAACAGGAGAATTTAGCATTGAAATAGCTGAGTGATTAGCTTGTGACTGGTCGCAGAAATGGCTATGTTAAAGTCAAAGCATACACATTCACAGAGGCAGATAGTACAAATCAAACAGGAGAATTTAGCATTGAAATAGCTGAGTGATTAGCTTGTGACTGGTCACAGAAATGGCTATGTTAAAGTCAAAGCATACACATCCGCAGAGGCACCCCTTGACAAAGGAATTAGCATAGAATTTAGCATTGAAATGGCTGAGTGATTAGCTTGTGACTGGTCACAGAAATGGCTATGTTAAAGTCAAAGCATACACATCCACAGAGGCACCTAGTACAAATCAAACAGGAGAATTTAGCATTGAAATAGCTGAGTGATTAGCTTGTGACTGGTCACAGAAATGGCTATGTTAAAGTCAAAGCCTACACATCCACAGAGGCACCTAGTACAAATCAAACAGGAGAATTTAGCATTGAAATAGCTGAGTCATTAGCTTGTGACTGGTCACAGAAATGGTATATGGGCTTCTGTGACAATCTGTGAGTCTCCGTGGGTCTCTGTGGGGTCTCTGTGGGTCTCTGTGTGTCTCTGTGGGTCTCTGTGAGTCTCTGTGAGTCTCTGTGAGTCTCTGTGGGTCTCTGTGTGTCTCTGTGGGTCTCTGTGAATCTCTATGGGTCTCTGTGGGTCTCTGTGGGTATCTAGGGGTCTCTGTGGGTCTCTTTGTGTTTCTGTGGGGCTCTGTGCATCTTTATGGGTCTCTATGGGTCTCTGTGTGAGTCTCTATGGGTCTCTGTGTGAGTCTCTATGGGTCTCTGTGGGTCTCTATGGGTCTATGTGGGTCTCTGTGGGTCTCTGTGTGAGTGTCTGTGGGTCTCTGTGGGTCTCTATGGGTCTCTGTGTGCATCTCTGTGGGTCTCTGTGGGTCTCTGTGTGGGTCTCTGCTGGGTCTCTGTGAGTCTCTGTTGGGTCTCTATGGGTCTCTGTGGGTCTCTGTGGGGTCTCTGTGGGGTCTCTGTAGGTCTCTGTGTGAGTCTCTATGGGTCTCTATGGGTCTCTATGGGTCTCTATGGGTCTCTGTGGGTCTCTTTGGGTATCTGTGGGTATCTAGGGGTCACTGTGGGGTCTCTGTGGGTCTCTTTGTGTTTCTGTGGGTCTCTATGGGTCTCTGTGGGTCTCTATGGGTCTCTGTGTGGGTCTCTGTGGGTCTCTGTGAGTCTCTGTGGGTCTCTGTGTGGGTCTCTGTGGGTCTCTGTGGGTCTCTGTGGGTATCTAGGGGTCTCTGTGGGTCTCTATGGGTCTCTGTGTGGGTCTCTGTGGGTCTCTGTGAGTCTCTGTGGGTCTCTGTGGGTCTCTATGGGTCTCTGTGTGGGTCTCTGTGGGTCTCTGTGAGTCTCTGTGGGTCTCTGTGGGTCTCTATGGGTCTCTGTGTGGGTCTCTGTGGGTCTCTGTGAGTCTCTGTGGGTCTCTGTGGGGTCTCTGTGGGTCTCTGTGGGGTCTCTGTGGGTCTCTGTGGGTCTCTATGGGTCTCTGTGTGGGTCTCTGTGGGTCTCTGTGAGTCTCTGTGGGTCTCTGTGGGTCTCTATGGGTCTCTGTGTGGGTCTCTGTGGGTCTCTGTGAGTCTCTGTGGGTCTCTGGGGTCTCTGTGGGTCTCTGTGGGGTCTCTGTGGGTCTCTGTGGGTCTCTGTGGGTCTCTGAGGTCTCTGTGGGTCTCTGTGTGGGTCTCTGTGGGTCTATTGGGTCTCAATGGGTCTCTGTGGGTCTCTATGGGTCTTTGTGGGTCTCTGTGGGGTCTCTGTGGGTCTCTGTGGGTCTCCGTGGTTCCATGTGTGAGTCTCTGTGGGTCTCTTTGGGTCTCTGTGTGCATCTCTGTGTGTCTCTGTGGGTCTCTGTGGGTCTATGTGGGTCTCTATGGGTCTCTGTGTGCATCTCTGTGGGTCTCTATGGGCCTCTGTTGGTCTCTGTGGGTCTCTGTGGGTCTCTGTGGGTCTCTTTGGGGTCTCTATGGGTCTCTGTGGGTCTCTGTGAGACTCTCTGTGTGTCTCTGTGTGTCTTTGTGGGTCTCTGCTGGGTCTCTGTGGGTCTCTATGGGTCTCTGTGTGTCTCTGTGGGTCTCTGTGGGTCTCTATGGGTCTCTGTGAGTCTCTGTGAGACTCTCTGTGTGTCTCTGTGGGTCTCTATGGGTCTCTGTGTGAGTCTCTGTGTGTCTCTGCTGGGTCTCTATGGGTCTCTATGGGTCTCTGTGGGTCTCTATGGGTCTCTGTGTGAGTCTCTATGGGTCTCTGTGGGTCTCTGTGGGTCTCTGTGTGAGTCTCTATGTGTCTCTATGGGTCTCTGCTGGGTCTCTGTGGGTCTCTGTGCTGTAATGATATCAGCCACTCCTCTGTCGAGGGAGCTTGACCGGGTCTGGCTGGATCTCTGCCTATTACAGGAGGTCTCATAGACTCGTCCTGGTTCCTGTGCTTTGCGTGGGGAGTCTTCCATTGATCATCACGTCACCACCTTTGCCAGTGCCAAAATATGACGATACTCCTCTTATTCTTAGTTTTTTCGGTAAAGTCACTGCAGTCACGAAAGCTTTAAATCAAAAGATACTCCTCTTCTTTGGTTCTCTCGGTAAAGTCACCACCACGTAGAATGAGAATGAAATGCTAAATCGATCAAATAAAACAACGTGATGAAATTCTCACGACGTTTCGGCCACAACACAAGCGGCCTTCGTCAGGTGAAGGGACGAGACTGTCCTGGAGGACAGCGCTGGAGTGGGAGAAGCCAGGTGTGTGCAAACCTGGTGGCCAACTACAAGAAACGTCTGACCTCTGTGATTGCCAACAAGGGGTTTTGCCACCAAGTACTAAGTCATCTTTTGCAGAGGTGTCAAATACTTATTTCCCTCATTAAGATGCAAATCAATTTCTAACATTTTTGACACGCGTTTTTATGGATTATTTTGTTGATGTTGTTATTCTGTCTCTCACTGTTCAAATAAACCTGCCATTAAAATTATAGACTGATC